TGACTCCACTCCGAGTGTCCCGAGGCTGCCCTGAGGCATCAGAAATAGGTGCAGGTGGCCCAATTTTCTCCTGGTCTGAGCTTGTGCACACAAACCTCTTGGTCCACGAATATTAGTAAATAGAGATGAAGCTACTTCTTTCAAAATAAAGCTCCTCTCCTACATTTTTGACATTGCAACTGTTGAAGCCATTCAAATCCTTGAATTGCTTTGTTAATTTGATGAGGCTTCTGCCTGAGTTGCTGGGGACAAACTTAGTGAAGACTTGAATGTCATATTCTAAGGTTTCATTTTTTAATTTATTTTCTTCTTCAGTAAGTATTACTGTGTGGTTAATTTGTTCTCTGGGATGGATGAAATAGAACTAATATGAAATTCAAATGAATTCTTCTGCTGGCAGCCTGTTAGCAGCAATAATGAAACATAATAGCCAATGGACAGAAAAATACATAAAGTATTTTTCTCAATAATTCAGAAGTTTGAGATATTTAACAGTCAATAAAAATATCCAGAAGAATCAATAACCTAGAATTTGACAGGGTACTTTAAAATTTCATATGTATATTTGTGTATATATATATATTTTTATTTTGTGTAAGGTCATGTTAACTTTTTAAATGCTTTAGTCATTAAAAGAAGTCCATTTCAGCTGTAGAAATCTCAAATAAACAAACGAAAAAACCCAAAACTAAAAAAAAAAAAAAAAAAAAAAAACAAACCTACGGATGCCAATACTGTGAAGAAAGAAACCATGATTTGTTGGGGATGCCAAGGGCACGTGTAGAACACCTGACCAGCAATCGGTTGATCTTGCACGGGAGGCTGAGCAGGATTTTTTAAGGTTATTTGCTTCCACCTACTGCTCATCGCTGATATTGCAGAAGGACCCGGCCGGGGAGCCCTGGGATGGTTGGAATGGCAGGGGCTGATCCTGCCCTGGGCTGTGCGAGGGCAGCGTGTGCTCAGCAATTCGCTTTGCCTTTCCCCGCGCCTGGTGTTCGCATGAGGAAAGGAAATATGTAGGAAATTCAGGCCGTTTTTTTAAAGTTTCTGCTTTCTTGGTGTTGTTTTGGAGGTTTTTGGCAGCCTGTGTTGGGATGGCAGAGCAGCAGGGTTGGGGCTGGGATGGAGGGAGGCAGCAAACTGCAGTGTGTGATAAACTCAGGGCACTCAGGGGGTGTTAACAGCACCCATGGATGCTTCAGGATTGTGATTTCACTGTCCCTGAATGCAATTCCTGGAGTGAAATTAAACACAGAGTTACAGAAACTATGTAAAGTAAGGGTATGCATGTTTCTACTGCATCCTAAAGCCAAAATCTCAGTCAGGGCCATGTTACTACAATAATTACTTGTGCTTTCTGGAGCTTTCACTTCCCCCTGTTCAGTAGCATTTTTTATAATGCTACTGTTGATGAAGGTGGTAGATTTGTTCAGTAACACTTTTCTATTACTGTTAATGAAGGTGGTAGATTTGTTCAATAAATTTTTTATCCAACTGTTGATGAAGTGGTAGATTTGTTCCCCAGTGTGTTGAACTTGAAAAATCCCAGCCCTAAAGCTTGTTCTTGTCCTGCATTTCTCCCAATGTCCTGCAGAAAACCTTGCTTTGTTTCCCTGTTGCTGCCACAAAAAAAAAAAACAAAACAAAACAAAAAAAATGGACCAAAAAGGCAATTTACATAAAACATGGAGCTCTTAATATGTTTGTAATAATGTTATTTAATTGGCTGTTATGCAGTGACACCTAGGGAAAAAAGCAATTGTGTTGGTTTTAAATGAAACGGATGAGAGGGTTTTCTATTTAATTCTATTTTTTCCATGAAACTTCCATAGAATACTTCCATTCTCTGAGGTTTTCTATCATTATATAAAATACCTAAAATAATTCTTCAAAAGGAACATATTTTCTGAGTTTTTTGGGGTTTTTTTTTGTGATGTAACAACACTAAAGAAGGTGCCTGATCAATTGTTCAGATCTCTAGGATTTTACAATTGCTTTTCAGCAATGGTGCTTCTCCATCTCAAATAATTCATACAGCAGGGAAATTTGCAATACACATAGGAAGTGAGAGCACTTTGTCATTTTGCACTTAGAGGAAGCAGCACAGATGTCTCCCAGAGAGGAACATGCTCATTTCTTCCCTTCTTGCTCTGAGATTGACAGATGATTCAATTTGATGATTTTTAAAGCTTAGGGCCTGTGTACATTTTTTCTTTGAAAGAGGTATATCTAGGATGTAGACATACATACACTCAAATATTTATGTTTAAACATAGATTTGATTAAGTCAGTAGCCTCACTGGTTTAAAGAATTACAACGCTAATTCCTTCAGAAAATTAACTGGGTTTTATCTTGCCCTTGTGCAGAAGTCTCAATCCAGGTGTTTAGCCTTGAAAACATATAGCTATTTCTTTTAAATCTGCATAATTTCCAAGATAACACATTCTTGCAGTGAAACTGAACCCATGCAGATGTGGTTTTCATTGCTAAAGATGCAGTGGCTAATTTGTAAAAATTCACTTTCCATATCTTTAGATAGATAGCCAAACTCTAAGGGCTGAAATACTTGTGTGATGTTCAGGGATAAAACAGAGAGCAGAAATGCTGAAATTTGCCATTCAGCCTGAATCTTTTCCTGGGGCTGATCTCATTTCCATGTGAGCTCTGGGTTCCATTTGAGCTCTGGGTTCCAGGTGAGCTCTGGTTCCAGGTGAGGTCTCATTTCCATTTGAGCTCTGGGTTCCAGGTGAGCTCTGGTTCCATTTGAGGTCTGGGTTCCAGGTGAGCTCTGGGTTCCATTTGAGCTCTGGGTTCCAGGTGAGCTCTGGGTTCCATTTGAGCTCTGGGTTCCAGGTGCTGTCTCAGTTCAGGTGTAGCTCGTTATCTCATTAACTCCTGATTGAGCAGAGCAGCCTCAGCTGGGCTGGCCCCACCTTTTTAGGGCTGAGGCTGCCTTGGTGCCTCTCTTTGCTGCTCCAGACAACCACCCCAGATAAGCTGAGCTGGGTTTTGCTTCATCCAGGTAAAACTGCATTTTTAATTGAGTAATGAATGCTTGTGAACTTGGGCCTCTTAGAAATTGCATTTAATGGGGAAGGGCAGGGGTAAAATAGCAAAATGCTCTGTTCCATGGGCAGCAGAAGGGACCAGAGTGCTGTTGGGTCCTCAGGTATATCCATCATGCTGAGAGCCTGTAATAGCCATGACTGCAGTCTGAGAGGAGCTACTTCATTCTGCTTTCAGTCAATTTAGGTCAGTGTGTGAGACAGAGCCACTCTTGTCCTTGGTAATATGGAAAGAGATGATTCATTTCTGATTAACCAATAAATATGTTAAAGAACATTACACCCTTTCCCAAAGGTGACTTAGGGCAGCACAGCTAGAACACCAAGACCACTGGTGCTAAAGGAGTTTGAATTCACTCCCCTGAAGGAGGAGGCTTTTGAAAAGCTGAGCTTTTTCCCCTCCCCAAAAAGAAGCAGGTGTCAGTATCTAAAGAGGCTCAGGAAGTGAGGCTGTGGGCAGAGAGAGAATTTCCTTCTCCTGCACGTGGGAGACGTGGGGAGAGACTGTCTGGCTGCTAGTGAGGAACACTTGAAAGGAAATTTTTGTGTTATATTCTTCAAACTACAATCTGGCTCCCCATGAGAAGTGATGGAGTATAAAGAGTATTAGAGGTGCTGATTCATGTTTTAGACTGGCTAGAATAACAAATGGATTTGGCTGCTTAGGAAGTGACGCAACTTGATATGCCTTATGAAACCATCTTTAATATAATTTGCTGTGAATTAAAGTGGGGTTTTTTTTCAGGAAACCTTGCTTCATCTTACTTGGTTGAACAATTTAATTTTTTCAATTTTTTTAAAGGTGTAGGTAGGAAGCCTTTGGCTTTGAAGTAAAACCAGTCCTTCATTTAAGATGAATAAACATGCTGTAGAAGAAGCATAAATTCTTTATTTTACATTTATTTTCATTTTTAATAGGAGCTGCTATTTGCTACCAGCATTTGAATTTATGTGCAATAAATAACTAACCACTAACTTGAAATCTTATTAGAGTAGTTCCAGCTTTGATCAGAGGTTGGAGAAGTACTTTTCACAAAAAATTGTCCCTCAGCCAAGTTATTCTTTCCTTAATAGAAATATCTAAAGCTGCAGTGGTTAAAATAGTTACAATTTGCTTCCAAGAATGTCCTCACTAGAAAAGTAAAGTTGGAAAGAAAATTAGTGGGGCACTTGTCTACAGTTTAGTGACTTGAGTTGTATTTGGTTACTCAGTTTCCAGCAGTAACTTGCTGTAAAAAGGGTGACTGAAGCAATAAATACCTTTTGGAGTGTAATTTTTGTGATGACCATTAGCAACACAAAAAGTCCATAGGTTTAATGAGTCAAAATACTTTAGGAATAAAAGGACCATGTGTTGGGTGTCCTTAGGTTTGAGATCGTTTCTTTCACTCCTGAAGAAAACATGTCCAGGATATCCACACGTGTACAAGTCTGTGCACACACATTTACAGGTTCATCATAAACAGAGGCTTGGCTGCTTTGCACATGGCAATGAGATTCAGACACAAACATCTATCAGCTCCTAGCTAGTGCTGGATAACAGACAGAAGGTTGAGCAGTTTCTCCTCTTTAGCTTCCCTTTATATTTCTTTCAGCTTCCATCATTTGTTAATTAAAAAAAAAATTAAAAAAAAGTGAGCAAGAAATATATTTTCCTCAAGATGGAAGCAAAAAAGAAAACTAATACTAACAAATCATATTTTTTCCTGAGTGCTGGCTACACCAAATGGAAATAGGTTTGGAGTGTTTGGGGGTTTTTTGTGTTTTTTCAATCCTGTCTTTAAATTTATGCCTGGAATAAAGTTTAATGACCTTCACCTAAAGGCGCAATACTAGACATTGTATATTCAAATAACTCTGTGTACACAAATAACAGTTCTTCAGGCTGGTCAATGTGTTTGTGACATGGGCTTCTCTGTTTGTGCTTTCAGGACACTAAAGCAGAGTGCAGTTCTGGTGTAGAAACTGAGGACAGAAAAGTAAGTGGCTTGTTTTAATGTGATTTTTCAGGCAACTCTAGTAGCTGGGATTCTCTCTTGTTGTTGTTTGTTTCTTGTTTTTTTTTTTTATTAAACCATGTGAAATTATTTTATGGTTCTTTACGTGTGTATGTGTTCATGTTGTATTTAACTTCAATGGGGAGAAATCAGTTTTACTCTATTGAATATACTTGTTAAAAATTTGAATAACCGTTTTTGTAGAAGAAGAAAGGAATTATACTCTTAATCTCTTTATACTACAAAAAAGTTTACAAGGCAGTTGCACTTTCTGTTCTTAATTTACATTATTAACAAAGTGGTTGTGTGTCTGTCATGATAAAGTTTGCATACCATGCTCAATATTTGTAACACAGCAAGATAATTGCTTTTTCTTGCTTTAGAAGTAGTACCTTTGAAACCTTATTTTTTTTCTTTTAAAGGGTTGATTAAAACAAATGTTTCCAGTTTTATTTTCTGTGGACAAACATAAACCAGATGCAAATATGTTTTTAGTTGTGTTCTTCACCTTACTCACGGTAAAAACTAACTAAGAAACAAAGGCTTCACAAAAAAACCTTCAGCTTAAAAAAATATTAAGTTGTCAGAAATAAATATCAGTACAGTTTTAAAGAGAGAAATGTGTTTTGCTTGAAAATCTGTTGCTCCTGAAATGTGAAAGTCAGGGTATTTCTGTGTGGAATAGTGAGTTTGTGGAGGTGTTGAGCACAGGACATGTGATTTCAAGTGCTGCTGGTCCTTGCTCTGTCCCACTGTGGCTGCAGGCCCTGAGCATCAGCTTCCATCCAACTCTCCAGGTGCTTCCATTTAGGGTCACGTTGCTTTGAATTGGGCTAAAATCCAGGCTGGGACCTTACTTCTAAACCCCAAGTTTTGACTTTTTTTGGTGTTTAGCAACTATTGAAACTGCCCAAGCCAGAAGTTCTTTCTGTAGTGTGAATTATGGGGAAAAGGTGTCAGGAGCCTGACAAGTTTGGACAACAATTATTAAAGTGTTTTATTTCTTCTTCCTTATATTGCAACTTTAATCTAGCAGAGCCCAGCCTATTGAACCTGTGGGGTTTTTCCTGGTTTGTGATGCATGGTTTGTACCTCAGGAGGAGTGGCAGGAATTGTGTGTCTGATGCCTTCTCTTGTGGCTCAAAGGGACTGCCCTGAGCTGCGGGGGTTTCCATGCAGAGATTGCAATTAGCAGAAAGGATTGTCCAGAAAACCCCTGGATTTTTCCTCTTCCTTCTGTTATTTTGTGAGAGCACTTTGGAAGAGCAGGAATGTGAGAAGCACCTCTTGTTGCATGATCTGTTTCATCTTTTCTCTGTGTTTGGTGTCCCAAAATTGAAGCTCCCACCAAGTTTAAGAGGCAGTTGTTTCCAGTCCAGGGAGGGAGTGAGCAGTGATCATCAAACACGGATCCATCAGTCTTGGTTAATACTAATGAATTGTTTCAAGTTTGTTCAAAGCATCAATTGAGAATGTCACATAATTCATAAACCTGAAACATTGTAAATAAATATTTTTATTTCATTGAACTTGAAATCAAGACAAACTACTGCAATTAGGGCATGCATCATTAGTATCTAATAATTTACACTTCCATAATGAAATATACTACTAATGAACTATATCATTAGTAATTAATGGGAAATTTTCCCATTTAACCACAAAATACAAACCTGCAAGGTGCCTTTTCTTGTGTTCCTTTTTTTTCTGAACTTTTCTGATCTGTAACTTCTGAAGTAGAAATTTATGTAACCATGACTAAAGCATTGCCTGCGGGCAAACTCAAATTTAATAACTGTACTTATTATTTTGAAATCTATTATTCTGTAAATTCTAAAATAGCAGTTAATTATGGTAACCACTTCATCACTGTGATCTGCCTCTCCTTTCATTGTCTTCAACTGACCTTTCCATGTAAGATTTTTATTTATTTCCTGCAAGGCTAAAAGCTCACAGGTTTGAGAATACCAGGTGACAAGCAATGCACAGTCTGCTCTCTCTGGCCTGGATAATTATGAATTACTTAAATGCCTTTACCTTTCCCAGCAGAAGACCCATAAGTGCATGCACAACTCATTTCCTACTTAATGAATACTTTTTTTCTGCATTTGACCCTCCCAAGCTTTCTTGTTTTGATCTCCCACCACCATTCTGAATGTCACAGTATTGGATGTTTAATGACTCATTTGATTTCAGCTTTGTTTCCCAAAGAAACAAGTGTAGAAAAGTGACCCTTAAATTGTCACAGGAAAAAACCTGTTAAAAACATTCCATGTGTAGTTTTTGTAAAAAATCCATGGATATCTGCAGCTAGCAGTGTGGTGTTGGGGAATTTGAGCCACGATTCCAAAGCCTGTGTGATGTTCTGCTATTGCAAGGCAGATGGTCAGATTGTTTTTCCTTTTAGCCATGTTTTCTGATATAAATCTGTGTGTTGGGCACAAACAAAATGGTTCTGGTGGAAGGCAATTAATAAGGATATTGGCCACGTTGCCAGGAGGGAGAGCACGTGGATTCCTTGGAAATCCTTCCATTTGATATAAATTTGATATAACCAAACCACTGTCTGTCTCTAAGAAGGCTTCTAATGTGTGCAGCCTTTTTGTTGGTGTTGCCCTTACACAGCTCCATCATCTCCCATTACCTGAAAAACCTGCCTTGCCTTTTATAAAATTATATTTTATAAATTTTCTTTGTTTCTGTATTTAATCTCAGTTAATATCTTTACTTGGTCTGAGCAGTTATCTTTTTTTTAATGTTTATATGGGACTTGCTTCAAACCGTATTCTCCAAAAATATAAATAGAAAAAGAAACTGTAAATAAGATTTCTCCAGTTCTGCTCTGTCTTTGAGGTTTGAATAGAGCACAAAGGACATACTTTGTTTTACTCTGCAATTGTCACATCATCAAATTAATTCATGGCAATGCTGTGAAACCAAAACTGATATGAAGTTACATCCCCTGACATCCTTTGTGTGACATTTCCACCTGACACTGCAAACTGGAACTTAACTTACAGTGACCTTTCTGTGCTGGATAATTTTGTCTCCGCTTGTTTTCACCATGCTGGGAATGTTTTATTCTTCAGCTCTGGCTGTTTGATCTGTGTTTTATTTCAGTTGATTCTGCCCCTAAAGGGGCTGTGCTGGCTGTAATGTGCGGTGCCATTCTCCTGTTGCAAATGCTCCATTCAGCAGCAGCTCAGCACCATTAGCAGGGGGCTCAAGGTCACCCAGGGTGTCCTGCTGCATTTTCCCTCCTGGAGAAGCAAGTGGCTCATGGAGAGAATATTTCTGAGATGCATCTTGACTTGAAAATGTCCCACTTCAGAGCTGGGAGTGCAGAGGCTTTCTGAGAGCTGCAGAGTTGATGGCAGAGCATCAGGGCAATAACCTGGTGGGTCAGGAAGGCAGGAAGGTTCCCTGGGGTGCCATAATGCTCCTGACTCCCTATTACCTGCTGTGGGATATGGGGGAGGCAGTGATGCCTTTCCTTTTCTCTGCCTGCTGTGCAAAATATTTCATTTTTTTTTCCCTTTAGTACCTTCTGTCAGTGGATCTCAAATTACTTTACAAACAAATTAAAAACACCTATGAGGAAAGTACTTACAGTTCTATGGCTTGAGTTACATATGGAGAAATAGATGGATGAAGGGCAGATGTAGACAAGGTTATAAAGTGTGTCTGAGACAAAGTAAGGAGAAAAAGAAAAGCAGTACAAATATATTTGGCTTTGTCTATTCAATGGCTTCTTTCAGGTTGTTTTTGGGGTTCTTTTAGTTTATTCATAGTGATCATATAAAGATTTCTTTTTCTGGAAGTTTAAGAGAATGGGCTTTTTAGGAGAAAAAAAAAAATCCAATTTCTCTGATCTTCAGATTACTGTAGAAGGGAATTACTAAGGGTATCAAATAGTGAGGAGCACCATGGAGGGGCTAAGTCAACTCCTGGCATCATAGATGTGGATTTGTGATTATACTGTTTTCTTTCATGCTAGTCCCTTTTCCTGCTGTTTAGGGGCTCTTTAGCAGTGAATAGGAATAAGTGTCATTTTTATTCCCTTGTGAGGGCATTGTGCAATCTGCAGAATTGTGTGGATTATTGAGATGCATTTTCACTTCCATTAAAGAAACTAATTTTTTTGTTGTGAGGGAAGATCACAGACTCCAATGGATGGGTAGGGAAGTGTCTACAGTGTATTTGGATATAGATTTGGAGGAATCTAAGGAAGTTTTGAACGCTCATGGCCTGCCTAACAGAGTGAACAAATGATCCCTGGTTCTCCTGCCTCTTTCCCTGGAGCACAAACAGTGCCAGGTGCTGCTGAACCATTGCAGGACAGGAGCACACAAGGTGGAGAGGGTTGAGCACAGAGCTGAGGGAGCAGGGCAGTAACCCAGAGGGGAATAATGAGCTGTTCCAGGAATAGCATCTCCTGTCACAGCACTGCTGATGCTTCCCCTGACATCCCAGCTCATGTGAGTCAGATTTATGTGATGCCTTCCTCAGTGCAGAGTTTCCACAACTTCCACAAAAGGGTGAAGTTATCTAAGGGCTGTGTGTGTGTGTGTGTGTTGTTTGTTACCAGAAAAGTTACTTGAAATCCATGGCTGCTTCCTTCACAATTATTTATATATAGATCTTGAAATCAAGATTTGTTGCTCTCCAGGGATCCTAAAACTCAGAAAGTTGAATCAAACCCACAATCTACATTATTTGGGCAGTATTTATTGCTATTTATTCTACTTTTAAGAATATTTTTAAATCAAAGGATTTTTTTTTTCTCCTTTGTCTTAGTTTTATGTTCTTTTCAAATAAAAGCAACACTTCTGGGAAAACAGGGAGCTGAAAGTTGCCCTGCAACCTAAGACACTGCATTATTTATTAGCCAGCCTAATAAATATTGGCAATTCTAATGTGAGGAATTGCTCAGAAATCCAGTCCATTTCCTGGCATGTGGCTTGACAGAGTGCAAAGTCTGG